CTTCCAAATGCTATGCAGTATCCTATTTAGGTTTTGTTTGGGATAACTTTTTACTATTTTAAAAGCAGTTTTTAAGTATAAATTTTTAAAATTTTTGTACTAAAAAGCTACTTAAGAAGTAGTAAGAAAGATGTCCCAAACTAATTCTTAATTATCTCATATTGTGCTCAAGTACAATTCTTGGAATAATTAACTCAGGAAGTCATACCAATGAGCAATGAGGCTTTTCTTGAATGGTAAAGTGTCATACATACATACATATATATATATATATATACACACACACACACACACATACTACAAGTGTATGCAGGCCAAGGGCTACACGGGTGTAAGCAGGTGGGCCATTTCTTGGACATAGTTCTGACGGAAGCAGCTCTAAGTCTAGACAGGGAAGCAAGGAAATCTGTCTTTCTATTTAGACATTGTAAAACCAAATCAAGGTGGAGACTGTTAATATTTGATCTAGATTTAAATGTTCAGTTCATATTTTACTATTTTTCCCTTCTAATTATATTATTATAAGTAGGGGTGCCTTGTAGATGTTTGATGGGAAAAATTGAATAAAGCTTTAAATTAGTTTTCCTCCAAAACCCCTCTCTCCCTTCTATCCCTCTCCCTCTCTTCCAAGAATCTCAAGAAGAAGCTTCTTCTTCCTCCAAAAACCTAAGAAGTTTGATCTTGATCAAGATGGAGATTGTTAATATTTGATATAGAATTAAGTGTTTAGTTTAGGTCTTATTATTTTGCCCCTCAAATTATTTTATTATAAGTAGGAGTGGCTTGTAGGTGTTTGATAGGGGGAAATTGAATAAAGTTGAGTTTTATTTTCCTCCAAAACTCCTTTCTCCCTTCTCTCCCTCTTCCGCTCATCTAAGAAAGATCAAGAAGCTTCTTCCACTTCAAGATTTCTCAACAATGCTTCTCTCTCAGGAAGCCTTTCAAGTCATAGCACAAAGCACATAGCCACACTATCATGCCAACTTTATCAAAGCCAAATCTAACACCAAAATAAAATGCCTTGCCAAAATAATTGTGCATGATAACTACGAGCAGCCACCAATGCTACAATAGCTAGACAAAAGAATAGAGAGCTCGTGTCTGCCTTCGCATGCTTCAGAGTAATAGAACTCTTAATATGAGATACCTTTATGCACACACATGCTTGTATTCATTATCCCCAAAATTAGCCATGACTTTAGCTTTATTGTCCCTTTTTCTATATACATAATGTATATTTCATTCTTTTCATGATCTACTATTTCTATCTTGATTGGCTATTCACCAATATCTTGTCAACATCTGATTTGAAAGTAATCATATTCTATGAAACGATCCTAATCCTTCAAAATATACTGATAATTTAGTGTCTCTAACCCTTCCCAAATATCAAAAATTGAGAAATATGTACTCTTATGTAAATGTAAATGACTTTTCATATATATTGGTGTTTCTTAGGCATGATGTAAGTATTATATCTCCTCTATGTGTCCGAGCAAACATAGTCGAAACTCATCACTATGTGGCTAAATTTTGAAATCTTCTTTAAATGGCTTAAGAGTTAAATCAACATAAAGCCCATAAGAATAACTATATCAATATCTTGTTTCTTATCTTGCAAGGTTAATCTATCCACAAATTTGTATTGAAATATGTTATTGTGTTTATTAAAATAAACTTATAGGTATTTGGATCTAATCCTATGAGGAAATTGGAATATGATATTATTATGCAATTATTCATTTACTTGAAAGTTTTATGGCATTATGAACTCTACTTTTTTTTTTTTGGTTTTTTTCAGATTTTATGGACATCACAACAATAATATGAAAATTTGTACTTGCACGCCATTGAAAAATCTAATTTTCTATAATATTGTGTTATCTAAAACCTTTTAGTCTTGCTTGATTTAATAATGGAGTAAAATTATTAGTAGAGCCAAACTTAATATTGACATATCATCAAAAAATTATCTTGATCCGGCACGAATCTCGAGGCAAAATCAAACCGGAAACTTCAAAAATTAAATCCGTGATCACCTGAACTCCGATTTCAGCAAACTTACAGTCAAACTGAGCGTCTCGGAAATACGAACCCAACGACACCAAATTCGACTCAATCCAAGCCCAAATGAGTCCAAATCAAGGACCCGAAGCGTTGTTGAAAAGTTCGTACCACAATTTGAGTTACCAAACAATTTCCGAATTTGATGAGCTTATAGTCAAATCGAGCGGCTCGACGAGACAAATCCAATGAGTCCAAGATCGCCAAATTTCGAAGTAATTAAGACCTTCAAATGCCTGATAAACGGTTCATGATCGAAGGATTCAATATCAGTCGTTCATCCGAACCACTCCATATTTGCCCCTGATCCTTCATCCCCTCCAAATTTCGAAGTAATATCAGCCCCATATTTACGATCAATGCCACTACAGAAAATCTATAAATAAACCCCTCATTTCACATGAGAGGGGATCCAAGCAAGAAGAAGAGAAGAACATAAGGGAATGATAGGAGGGAATAACTCCTCTTCGACCACCACTGGAGTTCTGCCCAATGCCTGTGTGACGCCGGAATTCTTCCCAAGTGAGACCGGAATTCTGCTCGACGCCATAATTCTACCAGACTTTCAGACGACACCGAAATTCTGCTCAACTTCGGAACGACGCCGGAACTCTGCTCGACGTTGTAACTGATTTTCAATCCTGAAAAAGATTTATTTTAATCTGATCGTCCTAAATTTTAAGGACGAGTCAGTCTCTTGTATTCCAAGCAAACACTAGTAGAGCTTTTTCAACTAGGTGTGGCCCCGTGGTTTTTCCCCTTTCAGGATTTTTCATGTAAAAATCCTAGTGTTGCTATTTCTCCTCTGTTTGTGTGCTAGATATTCGTACGACGCTGAGACAAAAAATTTTTAAACTCTATCGCCGAGTATATTCTAGCCCGCAACAAATATAAAACTTTAATTCCCAGGTCGAACAACTTAAATATGATGCAATGATATTGTAAACAAAGAATTTTCTCTAATAAGTCTATTTCGATGATTTTAAGGTTTTAAAGTTATTTTTCTATGTTTTTGAACTAAATTTTTACAATTTTAGAGCCTCATGAATCTTCTAATCAAATTTTCTGCTTTTTTTTGCCTCGATCGAAGCACTGACTTCATGAAACATTAAAAATTATAATTAAAGATATTTTTCTTTTTACACCCATTGATGTCTAAGGAGTGTTGACACATTATAATTTTGCATAGTAAAGTTTTTTTGAAAGGTATATATATATAAGCTATAAATATTTTAAAATTACTCAAAATTAACTACAGAAAATTTGTGAGGCAATTAAGAGTGCCAAAATTGCATTTAGATTCACGCTCAACCAAGATGATATTTGATGCCGGATCAATATTTATATAGAAATAATTAGAATGGGCATGCCACTCGTTGCCATCTTTGAAAGTTTTAATTTCATATTGCATCATACTCGACAACCTTTTAATATTGCCCATTATTATTATTTTTTATTATGTAGAAAGATACTTAATATAATAATAATAATACAAATAATATATGTTGAATCAAATTATTAAGAGGTTGTATGACTGTAAGCATTATGATGATAAAATAATATATATATATATATATCAATTCTTTTCGCTTGAGTCTAAAGGGTTTTTCTTGAGTATATCTAAAATCAAATATATTGAGTATAATTTTAGTAGTAATAGACATAGTGAAGAGGTTATGACTTTGGACGATCAAGTCATTAATAAGAGCACAAATTTTAGATATTTTGGATCTATCGTTCAGAGTGATGGTGAAATAGATGGGGATATTATAAGTAGAATTCAAGTTGGATGGTTGAAATGGAGGAATGCTTCAGGCTTGTTGTGTGATAGAAAAGTATCCCTCAAACTTAAGAGAGAATTTTATAAAATGGTGGTGAGACCTGCAATGCTTTATGGTACTAAATGTTGGCCATTAAAAGAAAAGCATAATACTAAGTTAAGTGTTGCACAAATGAGGATGCTCACGTGGATGACTTACTTTACCCTTAGAGATATGATACAAAATGAGCATATACGTGAAAAGTTTGGAGTAGAGCCAGTGCAAGATAAGATTAGAGAGAGTCGCCTTAAATGGTTTGATCACATAAAACTACAACCTTTCGATGACCTGGTTAGAAAAGTGGAGGTATTAGATCTGACTTATGTTAAGAAAGTTAGAGATAGACCTAAAAAGACTTGGTTAGAACATATTTGAAATTATCTTTCTTTATTTGATTTAAATGAGAATTTTACTTTTAACTTGACACAATATAGAAAAAGGATTCATGTAGCTGACTCCACATAGTAGGACAAATGCTTGATGTTATTGTATAAATTTAAATTTTTTTGATATTTGATTTGGAATATCCTAAAATATATGTTAATTTGAAATGTGTCAAAATCAATCGAATGCAGAGAAAACTCACGACAAATGACCTCACCCTTCCCACTCACTATTGTTGATTTCTAACCACTACCACAGTTGTCCCTAAGAACCTCCATTAGCTAGCCTTCCCCTCCATCATTGTCAGTCGATGCCTTTAGTCAGTATTGTCGATCGACGCCTTCAATCATTATCGCCGTCATAATTATCAAATACTGAACACACCCAACCACATTCAACATTCATCATACCTTTTTTTGGGAAATTAAAGGCATCATCCAAACACGCACAACACATACATGAGACTTGAACCCAAAACTTCTTAGTTGAGAGTCAAACTCATAGCTAATAAATCAATAAGAGCTGCGTTATATGTACATACTTAATATGCTTAAAATATAGGATAACCAATATATATATATATATATATATATACTCAATTAAATATGTAATAGTATTTTGAAAGTGCAACCTAATTATTCTACATATTTAAAATACATTATTATTTTTAAAATTAGCAAAAAGCCGAAAGACAAAAGGTTAGAGAGAGCATTATGTTTATTTATTAACCAGACCGTACATAGGTATGCCCTAAACCGGAGCACAGCGAGAAAGCGAGCGAGCGAGAGAGAGAGAGAGACGGGAGAGATAAGTTATGGCTGATTTTGAGGAACGATACGAAGGAAACTACCAGGACTATGGTGTCTCTTCTCCTCCTCCGCGGAGCAGTGGCTTCGATGACCGCGGGGATCTGAATTTTCAGGTTTTCTTCTACTAACCCTCATCATCTTTCCCGCTTCTTGATTCCTTCTCGTTTTTTTCAAAAGAATTGAACACCGTGAAATTATATGAAGGTTAGAGTTTTGGAAGTCAACAGTTTGATGTAATCTTTGCTATCTGTTAGTATCTTCTTTTATAGTTTATCTCTTGGAGGGCTCTTTTAGGTTATATTTGGCCTATATAAATATTGAAGATCATTACATATGATAATTGATTATTATTTGATGGTTAACATGGAGAGAGACCACGAGTGTATGATCGAAATATGATAACTTTGCTCAAGGGAAAATTTTTTATTATTCAATATGAACAGATCGTTGGGATGGAAAGAATTCGTGAACAAACAGTAGCACTATATAATGAATGAGCATGCTAAGATGAATCTGAAGAAAGAAAAAAAAAACTAGTTTTTTTTTTAAAGTTCCGAATATCAATATCGAAAAACTTTGGGGTAGATCTTAAAAGTATAGATTGTCATGTTTAGAGCGTTTTAAGTGCTTGAAATTACATCCATAATGCTTAGGGGTGGGATTATCACAGTTGTTTCGGTAAGATGAAGGGTTGGCCATAGAGAACATGGCTATAAGCTGAACAAATCTATCCAATTTAGTAGAAAACAGATGAAGGTTTTAAGAGGAATGAGCCATAGAGAAAAAGTCCTGCTCTTAAACTGACCTGAATGGATTGAATAAGGCTGTTGATGATGATGATTTAATGGTCCTTTTTATTTTCAATGATGCTTAATTTGGAAATTTCATGTGCTTAGCTGTTACCCTTCATGATTCAAAAGGTTTCTGCAAAATTATATAGTGAGGAATTAAGGAAGTTTATTTATTTTTCATTTATGTTTGGCTTTTAATATGTTTGTATCATGAATAGTTTGTTTGTGTGACCCAAAATGAAAAAAAAAAAACTTCAAATGATTTTTTTTTATGAGTAGTTACTTCCCATGTAAGGTTTAGCATTTTTTTTCTAATATGCTAGAAAATTTGCTATTTTTTCATCTCGAGAACAAATCAATTTGTTGGTATTTAAAGAAATTTTGTGTTTGTTGTGCATGATGAATGATTTGTTTTTAAAATCTGTTGAATGATCTATTGGGTTTTAGATTTTTCTAATAGTCCTTTAAATATTGTTTTAGTCGCCTAGATGTACACTTTTTGTATGAAGATGGAGTGTTTAATACTTTCATATATCAAGTAAACTCTTTGTTAGTGCTAAATTGACCACCATTGTCTTTTCAAACAGTTTTGTTGATGGATATTTTTGCATTTGTATTCTCCTAATATATGTTTATTCCATAGCAGCATGATTATCAAGATCATGAAAGAGGATCTTCCAAAAGCAGAGGAAGGGAAAAGGAGAAAGATAGGGAGCGGCATAGGGATAGGGAAGGGGATAGAGATAGAGATCGGGATAAGAGGAGGGAACGAGACAAGGAGCGTGATCGTCACCATAGAGATAGAGATGGTGATAGAAGTGGAAGAAGAGATCATGAACGAGAAAAATATGATGATCGAGATCACCATCATTCTCGTGATAGAGACTATGAAAGGTATGGACATTTGTTTTGTGGATAAGTTATCATATATCTCTCTTTGCACATATTTCAGATGTGGAATTTCAATTGAGAATTCTACATGTCCATTTAGATGCCTTTTAATTTTGGGGAATATGAATATGAATTTTATCATTCAAATTGGATAATGAAGCACGAATGATTCCTTTTATTTGGTTGTTGGCAACTTCAGATTATGTAAAATTGGTATTTACTAATATAAAACTAGGGGATTCTTTTACAATGCAAAGTAGGGTGTTTTTACAATAAAATGAGGCAGGGTTATGAACCATTGAATGACAAATATTTTTCTCAATTTCTTTAGAAACTGTTCCAAACGAATTGTTTCTAATCAATAAGTTTGTTAGAGTTATTTTGATTTCATGATGTAGGTCTTTGGCTTCCATCGCAGTCCACATATCAGCCAACCTATCTTTACTAGTATATAATTAACTGGTTGTAATGAAGATATGTTTTTTTGGTGCTTATTGGGCCTTATGTGCCTCTTTTCCATTATTGCTTGTCAAGGTGAAAGTTATTGAATTTTTGAAGTGGGATAACAGTTTTTTGAGGAATCTCATGAGGATTTCTTTCATCTAACTTTTCCTCACTCTTCGTTTGAATAATTAATGTATTACTCATCATAGCTTTCCAGGCTACCCTCCATATGCCAGTGTTACCATATTCCCTATTTTCCCACTTACTATTCATAGGCGTCAGATAATTTTATAATTATCCATTTAGTGGCTTCAAACATGGTAGGTGAACTCATTCCTTTTTTTTAACAACTAACAAATTGAAGCAAATTACATGTGTCAAGTTATAGCTTTAGGTAAAAGGTAAAGGTTTCTTATTTATTCTTTAGATGTGTGCTCTTGGTGGTTTACAACAGAGGGTCAACCTGTGAGGAATATTACATTGCCGGACTATGCTGCCTAGCCGTCCTCTTCTTTGCTTGTATTCCCAGAGAGTAATTTTATGTTGATGAGTGTGATAAAGGGATGAAATGGAAGAATAGGGTTTTATGAGGTAAGGAAAATGGCACTACGATGACAAGGAGAACAAATTGTTGATTGGCTGCAACTTTTTAGCTTTTCTCTTCCAAACTAGTGATATCTTATTAGTTTTTTTGGTTCACTGACATTTATGATATATTCTCATCTCTTTATGAGATGTCAATTGTCTAGGTTTTTCGACAACTCTGAATGATATGCCCTTTTTAGTTAGATATGTCACTCTAATTGGTAAACATTTATATGTTATTGTCTTCTTAAATCTGCTGCCCTCTTGAACCTAATTCTCAATGTTTGCTCCTTACATCTTTCTATCATGATTGCTCCTCTTTTGATCAATTTTTGCACGAGCGATAAATCTTAAGAATTGCATATGTCAGAAACAACACAAGGCAAAACCCAAGTGGAGTAATTCTAAGATGTAGGAATTCATGCAGAAGAAGGGTGTGAGTAGAATGTAAATATTATATGCTTAACTGTTGATATTTAAAAATGTCATAACCCTTGAGTCTTATTAGATATTTTTTGTTAATTATTTAAATTATCATATATTTTGGTACGAATTTCTTCTTCTAATGATGCTTCTTCATCAATTTTTTTGGAATGTATTTCTAGTGCGGGGTTTGTGACTTTGAGCGATGAAGTCATTAATAAGAGTACACATTTTAGATATATTGGGTCTATTGTTTAGAGTGATGGTGAAATAGATGGGGATATTATTAGTAGAATTCAAGTTGGATGGATGAAGTGGAGGAATGCATTAGGCTTGTTGTGTGATAGAAAGTACCACTCAAGCTTAAGGGAAAATTCTATAAGATGGTGGATAGACCTGCAATGCTTTATGGCGTAGAACGTTGGCCATTAAAAGAGATGCATAATATTAAGTTAAGTGTTGTTGAGATGAGGATGCTCAGGTGGATGCGTGCTTTACTCTTAGAGACAAGATACGAAATGAGCATATATGTGAAAAGATTGAGTAGCTCCAGTGGCAAATAAGATTAGAGAGAGTCGCCTTAGATGGTTTGGTCATATGAAATGGCGGTCTTTCGATGACCTGGTTAGGAGAGTAGATGTATTAGATTTAACCTATGTTAAGAAAGTTAAAGATAGACCTAAAAAGACTTGGTTAGAAAATATTAGAAATGACATTTCTTTATTAGATCTAAATGAGAATTTGACTCTTAATCGGACACAATAGAGAAAAAAGATTCATGTAGCAGACCCCACATAGTGGGAAAAATGCTTGATGTTGTTGTTGTTGTATTTCTCAAATTAGGAATTAAATATTATGATATTAATTGTAAATGTGAATAAAGTAATTAATTAAAATAACTTAAGGCTTTATTTGGGATAGTTTTTTTATTACTTTTGTGGTAGAAAATTAGCCAAATAAAAGTGGTCTCTGTTGTATGATAGTTTTTTCATTATTTAAAAAAAAATTGCTTTTAAAAAGTTATTTTTTGGGGTAGTATTGTTGAAACTGTGGTTTTAAAAATTAAACAAAAAATAATAAACATCCCTAAATGAAGCCTTAAACTGTAGGAGGCTAGTTTTAGTATTATTATACTGAACTTTAGATATAACATCAAGCCAAAGTGCTAAAATTCTAGATAATATTGGCATCTATTAGTATAATAACACCAAACCAAATACCAAACATTTGGCAAATAAAATCGTTATCAAATAGCATTGAACTATGACAATCACTTAGTTTATAATGTCTTACTTGGTGTGCAACATTTTAAATCCGGCTTTTTACCAAAATTCTCTTGAATATAATACAATTGTCAATTGTGAGTGATGCACAATGTTTAAAATCGAGTGATTATAATGTCCAATATAATTATTTGTCTTCTACCTTTATTTTCTAATGATGTTGAAATTAATATTGACAAGTAGTTCCTCTAAGGCTTCATTTTGTGTGAGCCTAAGCTAAGGATAATTCAATAAACAAATTAGGAAGTTTTTAAGAACAATGTTGAGATTTTGGATTGTACGTAATTTTTTTTTAAACAGACTTGAAGGAGCTTAAGCCTTTATTTTGAAAAAAGTTGGTTAGTAAGAACAATTCAAGCATACATAAAGTAAGTAGGATATCAATGTATTTTTACTTTCTAACTTGGTGTTTTTGTTATTTCTTAAGTAATAAGATCCAATCATATGATTATCTGACAAAAAATGTGTAATTCTGTAAACTAGTATTAAATACAACAAAATGAATCTCAGATCTTATTTAGATAAAGATATATTTAAATAAAACAAATATATGATCCATCACTTGTATTATACCTAATTGTTTAATATTACCTACATTCAACATGGTGCTAAATCCATTCAAAATTTCAACCCTGGTTGATAATAGTTTGAAGTTGTAATTCTTGCCCCCCTACCCACAAATAAATAAATAAATAAAGCTTCACCTTAAATTTGTTTTCTTGATTGAATTTATGGTGATATTTTTGTCATGAGTAGCCTTATAAAGGGTAATGCTATCTGAGATTATCGCAAACAAGATAGCTTATATTAGAAGTAGCCCTAAGGTGTACGCTTATCCCTTGAGTAGCCTCAACGCAATGCTATTCCTTGGAGAAACCTCTTTAATTGTTAATACATTGACAAGGAATTATAATTCACTTTGAAGCCATTAGTTTTCAAATTTCAAATAAGGAGCTATTAAAATTGTTGCTTTGCTAGCATCACAAAGCTGGTTATTTGTGAAGGAGTGTGGAAAGCTTTTATGTTTTTATAAAAGTATGCATTGCCTACGATTGGATTAAGCTAGTCATGATTAGCATAATTTTCACTACACTAATAAATGCCATGCATAAGGAAGAAAGATAGCAACAAATGAATTTAAATCATGATAGTTCAACACTATTTTATGGTAACTTGCATGTTGTGTGTTAAGCTTGAAAAGAAAATCACCATTGATGGTTCCAAGCCCAAATGAGCAGGTTATATTGGGGTGTTACGTTGAGAGCTTGTTGTAAAATTTTATGCCAAAATTGATGAAATGAATCCAATTTTAATTTTTTCGCATATTAGGCATTACACATGGCTGATTAGAAGAATAATAAATATTACTTGCTTATTAGAAACTAAATAGTGGGGGAAAACTTATGGATCATTATGGAATATTAGAAGTTATCCTATGTTTTAAAAGTTAACAATATGAATGAGAGATTGCTATTAATTTAATTTTCACTAAAGACATCATGAATATTGTAAATGTGGCTAATGCTTTACTTTAAGTTAGATTAGGAGATAATATAAAATAGTAGTTTGAGAAAGAGGGATGAGTTGGGCACTTAATGAAGTAGGAGTTTTCCAACATTTTGATTAAAGTTTTTTTTTAAATCATGTTCCTTTATCAAGGTGGCCAATAATACATGATTTCAAGGGCGTAGAAAAAAATAAGAAAATAAAAATACGTTTAAATAATTTAAACAAAGGGCCTTGTCATGGGCTTTTGTTCATAGACTGATGTTGTTTTGGTCCTTTGTTTTTACTCTTGTAATGAGTCATGTGGCCTGATTGGATTTAACTATTGATATGCTACATCATAAGCTATATTAAATAACAAAGGCAAGGGATAAGAGATCTAGAAGCTTAGCAAGTTACTTGCTTTAGAAGATTATATAATAGAATCTTAGTTAATGATTATGATGTTAAGAAAATTAAAAAATATTATTTTGAGTAATTATTAGATTGGAGTTTTGGTGATATTATAATTTTTTGGTTAAGAAATCTTTTTAGTTAAAGTTCAAAGAATAAAAAAAAAGTCAAGGAATTGAAGAAACAATACTTTATTATTAATTTTGAAGAGCAAAGTAGATGTTCAAAATTATACTAATTATCAGGGAATCAAACTTGTGATTCATATGATGAAGTTATGAGAGATTAACAGAGCATAGGTTCAGAACTCAATATATCAATATTGGCTAATCAATTTGTTTTCATATTAGAAATATTTACCATGAATGT